TATATGTGAGTGAGTATAAATGACTTATATATGATGATATAAGAATTTGTTATAAGTTATAGAATATGAATGTAAGAGATCATATGAATAAGAAATAAGAGATATAAAGTATAATAGTATAGGAGCAAGATAATAACATAAATGATGATATGTATGTAATTGTTAGATGAAAAGCATATGAGTGAGATGATTTGATATGATGTGTATGATATGATAATAATAGTTGTTCCTGCATGATTTACAAGTTAGAGTTTACATTATATATTTATTCGCCTCACTAAGTTATAGACTTAGCGTGTGAGTGTTTCACACGCAGGTTCTTACAAGCTTATGGATTGTTGAGGTGCAAGTCAGGTCAGCATTTTTCCTTACAAAGTTTTAGATCATAAAATAGATGATTTAAATGTATTTTATGGTATAGAAGTCTAGTTGGCATGTATTTAAAAGATTTGAATTGTATAAGCTCTGAATAGTTCTGTAAACGTTTTGAATAAGTTATATGTTATAAAAGTTTTTAAATTACTCACTATTTTATACAAGTAAATGTTTTAAAAAGTCAATGTGACACCTCAGACTCGGATCCAGGTCGGATTCGGGTTGGGGGTGTTACATTTCATGCCAACTCTTCTGTTTAAAAACAACTTTGTTTCTACATAGCCATATCGTCCATATAAACCCGAACATTGCCATAGCCCAAACTTGTTTATGCTCTGCAGAAACCAGTTGGTCAACCCAAGAGAGAACAAACGACTTTATACTTTTCGAACACACAAAATATAGGTTCGGCAACACACACCACCTATTCTTAGTTCTCCACACAGAGCTGCAATGACAAAGAAGATTGAACAGTCTTTTTCTTTGTACCATAAATACTACAACGACACGAAATAAGGTTCGATATTCCTCTTCTCTCTAACCCTATGAACATGGGTATCCTTTGGTTTGCAGCATTCCACACAAATGCATACACTTTCTCAGGTACTATATTAGACCATATTATATTCCACACCTTATCTTTAGTAGTCCCATCGCTTATTGTGGTGCCATAATGACTGTTTGCCGTAAATATGTCGTTAAGTTCACCACGCCACCTTAAGTAATCTCTCATCGAAAGGTTTTGAACATATCTGTTTAGGGTGCTGATGAAATTCTCCAAAACAATAACTTCCCACTGAAATAATACTCTTCTCAACTCAATATTCCATACCCAACAACGATTCTCAATATAACCAAAATATGAAACTTTACCCAACTTTCTAATAGCAACACCAAAGATTCTCGGGAAAAAATGTTTTAACGAACCAACGCCCCTCCAAGAATCATTCCAAAAGTCAATATTGGTCCCATCCCCAACAACCAAACACATATTTTTTGTGTAGAGATCCTCCATCATTAACAACGGAGTTGTTATGTTCTTTCAGATTTTAAAATAATTTTTCGGCTGAGGAAGAGATAGAATCAGTAGTTTCTGATTCAATCCATACTTTGCATCTACCACTTTTCTCTATAACGCGTATGGCTCACAGCTATAACGCCACTTCCACTTATTTAATAGCAATCGATTTCGAACTTGTATGTTATAGAAGCCTAAACCTCCATAGTCCTTTAGCTTGCAAATGTTATCCCATTTTACCGAATGAATCATTCTTTTTGACTTAGCCCCTAAAGGAAGTTTATAATTTTCTTATTTAAAGTTCTAACAATCGTTTCGGGCATTTTGAAGAGGGATATACAATATGTTGGTAGATTTACTATGACCGATCTCACCAAAGTCAGGCTACCCCCAAACGATAGGAGTTTTCCTCTCCACCCCTTTAATATACCATTGACTTTATCCACATTGAGCTTCCATAAGGACAGAGACTCCCTTGAATGGCCTGAAGGCAAACCAAGGTAAGTAGAAGGAAACTTATCGTGCGCACAATTAATAATTCTCGCTTAGTTTTGGATTCTTTTCTCGGATATGTTAACTTCAAATAGTTTCGACTTACTTACATTTAAGCTGAGACCAGACGTTAACTCAAATAATCTTAGAACCCTCTTTGCATTTCTGATCGACTCAAGATCATTATTCAAGAACAAAAATTAAGTCATCAACAAACTGAATGTGTGACATACTCAAAGTGTTCGAACCCACTAAGACTTCTTGGATCAAATCCATATCAATAGCTTTAGTAATTAAACTACTCAATGCTTCACCCACCCAATTGAACAAAAAGGGAGACATGGGGCAACATTGGTGAAGACCCTTCTTTATGAAAAAATTCTCCGTTGGAACTCCATTGACCAACACTGAGATGGATGTTGTCGAGACACACATGGATATTCATCTACGTCATTTTTTGCCAAAACCCATCTTTTTAAGAGTCAGATCTAAGAATGACCAGTCTACTGAATCATACGATTTCTTGAAGTATGCTTTAAAGATAATTATTTCTCTTTTTCTTCTATTTAGATCATCAATCACTTTGTTGGCAATAAGCAAACAATTAGAAATGTGCTTCCTTGAAATGAACACAAATTGTGACTCGCCTACCACTTCATTTAGGCAACACGATAATCTCTTCCATCAACAATTTTATAAATACTACCGACCAAGGATATCAGTCTATAATCATCAAGATGCTCTGAAGACTTATTTTTCGAAATAAGCGTTATAAATGACTTATTGATAGTTGAGTCGATCTACTTCACATTATAGAAAGAGTTAAAGAACTCCATGACATCTCCTTTAATCTCACCCCAAAACTTCTTATAGAAATCTAAGTTAAAATCATCGGGGCCACCTAACCGGGTATACTGGGTCAGGCTTACCCGGTTGGGTTTCCTAAGGTGCCTTTGCTGGACTTCATTCGAACATGTAAAAAAAATTAAATAAATAAGAAATAATATAAAATAATAAATTATCATAAATAAATAATATATATAATATTATATTTCTGAAAATAAAATATTTTAAAAAAAATTTTATATTATATGTTTTCAAAAAACATTTTCAAAAATTATATTATATATGTTTTCAAAAATATTTTAAAACTGTATATTATATATGTTTTCAAAAATGTTTTCAAAACTCTATATTATATAAGTTTTCAAAATATTTTCAAAACGTATATTATATATATATATATTCAAAATGTTTTCAAAACTATATATATTATATATTTTTTCAAAAATATTTTCAAAACTATATATTATATATATATTTTCAAAAATCATTTGCAAACTATATAATATTTTTTTTCAAAAATCATTTTCAAAACTATATAATATATAGATTTTTAGAAACCGATTTTTAAACAATATATTATATGTTTTCAAAACCGTTTTCTAAAAATTATATATTATATTTTTTAAAAATATTTTCAAAAATTATACTATATATATATATATATATATATATATATATAAATAAATAAAATAAAATAATCCGGACGAAAATGAGTGTCTACATAATCAATTTTGTAGTTCATGTCTAATCAGTTTGATTTTGGAGATATTCAAAATCCAAAGTCCATGCAACACAACCATTTATAGATATCTGATCATAACTTACCTGCAACGGAGTAGTATCACGATTAATCTCCTTGGCAAAATCAAAAGGCCACTCTCTAGAAAAGGTTTGAATGACCCCAACAATAGAAGCAAAATAGGAAGATAATGTGACGACTTTATTGATGTTGAGACAAACTCAATCATCAATGACGATAATTTTGTGTTTAGTAACGATGGCATGTGATATCCACATGGGATTAATACTAACTAAACTATGTGTGTTTTTATCCACACACAAAAAAAAACTACGCGTGATATCAATAAATATTAAAAAAATGGAAAAAAATAACATGAATATGTAATTTTATTTAGATAAAATACATACAAAATTATTTAATTGTGCTTAATAATAAATAAATATATTTTTTTAAAATAAAACAATTTAATCATTTAATTAAAATATTATTATAAATAGGTAATTGATTATTAACCATTATGTGATAACAAAGAACTGATTTTTCTCCTTATTCAAGCTAACCTATTGTGGGTTGGCTTGGTCTAATTTCATTACCTGCTGCAGAAACGTTCGAGTGAAGCAGGTTTAAGTTGTAGGGAAGTAGACTTTGGGGTAGTGCATTTTATTTTCAAGGAGATGGATATCTGGCTATTTCTTTTTTCAAGAATTTTAAAATACAATAAATAAAAAAACAATAATATAATTCAATTATTAAATTTATGATTTACCCGTATAAAAACTGCTTGATTAAGTCACGCCAATATATATATATTTTTTTTGCCAAGAAGGGACGTGCAAATATTTAAATATTGCCTTCTAGAACACGAGGTTCAATACCTTCTTCTAAGCAGCGACCTTTCCAACTAAATTAATCCACGTCGTCTTTTGTGGGTCCATCAGCATTTAAAATGATATTTTCTTCGAAATATTCAATGTTGGCTGCTTGGCTAAAATTCAGCCCTTCCGGTTCTTCCACCTCCCTCCTCCACGTCATAATCAGGGGAAAGGTAAACCAATATTGTCACTCCATATTTTGCTAAGTTCAATCCCAGTGGTTCTTTATTATTTGTCTTAATTTCTATAAATGAGTTTAAAAAGAATTTCTTCCATTACCTTTTAACAAGATGGGATAAGAAAAAACTATAATCTCTTGAGCTAAAAGTGATTTAATATCACACAATCCTTTTTTTTCTTGAGAAGTATCAGACAATCTTAAAAGAAGGAAAAATAATTAAGGGTCGGATTGAATTACTTATATTGTTAGAATATTTGGAAGTTTATTCCTTGGCCATTGGCAGTCATCATGGATATAGAGTTTATTAATAAATTTTAAGTTAATCTTAATATTTACGGTAGGCCAAACCAAAACCCTATTCGGTTCCAAACAAATGTGCTTTTTCTCTGTGGAGAAATTTATTTACTACAAAACAGTTACAGTTATAACATGACAATGAAAAAGACTGCCCTTCTGGATGCTGTAATAGCTCCCTCCAATATAATGACAAAATATATCGTCTCTAGAAACCGGCCATTTCCTTCCTTCTTCGCAGTGTTTCATTGCAGAGGCAAATTAATGTGAACGTCAACCAAGCCGCAACCTTTCTTAAATCCCACTCCCTTGAGTCCACTCGTGTTTCAGTTCATCTCCTTTCGTAGGAAAAATAAAACAAAGTCTTGTCTCTCTTGTCGGTTTCTTCAAATCTCCGGCATGTCAAACGCCTATTCGTACCGGCAATTATTCCTCCCATTATGTCTCTTGTTCTGTTTCTCCTTCCCTTGTTGTGTAAAATCCGATGAGCTTCAGATATTGCTGACGTTGAAATCCGCACTCAATAAATCAAGCACTGATGTTCTCGATTCATGGGAGGCTACCGGTTCTGTTTGCAGCTTCAGTGGAATCACCTGCAACGGTGACGGGGCGGTAAAGGAGATCGAGCTTTCAAATCAGAAGTTGACGGGCGTTCTTCCTTTGGATTCGATATGCCAGCTTCGGTCCTTGGATAGGCTTTCCTTTGGGTTCAATTTATTGTACGGTGCAATCTCGGACGATTTGAATAACTGTTCAAAGCTTCAATATTTGGATCTTGGGAACAACCTTTTCTCGGGTTCATTCCCAGGTATATCCTCCCTCAGCGAATTACGGTACCTTTATTTGAATGGAAGTGGAATTTCAGGTCCTTTTCCATGGAATTCGCTTGAAAACATGGCCAATCTTACTGCTCTGAGCCTCGGGGACAACCCTTTGGATCGAACTCCGTTTCCTAATGAAATCCTGAAGCTGAAGAAACTGAATTGGCTTTATTTGGCGAATTGCAGCATTGAAGGGAAGATCCCTCCAGCCATCGGAGATCTCACCGAACTTATAGATTTGGAGTTCCAAATGAATTATTTGTCCGGAGAAATTCCAACGGAGATTGGAAATCTTCACAAGCTCTGGCAGCTTGAGCTTTTCAATAATGAATTGTCCGGAAAACTTCCAGTTGGAATGAGAAATTTGACAAGCCTTGAATATTTCGATGCCTCAGACAACAAACTTGAAGGTGATATCACGGAAGTGGGGTATTTGACCAACCTGGTGAGCCTGCAACTCTTTGAGAACCAGTTTAATGGTCAAATACCGCCTGAGTTGGGCGAGTTCAAGAAACTGGTGAATCTGTCTCTTTACACCAACATGTTCACTGGCCCTCTTCCTCAAAAGCTAGGCTCTTGGGCTGATTTCAACTACATTGATGTATCGGAGAATCTCTTGACCGGCCCGATTCCTCCAGATATGTGCAAGAAAGGAACCATGAGGCAGCTGCTAATGCTTCAGAACGGGTTCACCGGTGAAATCCCGACGACTTACGCAAATTGTGCCAGTTTGAAGCGGTTTAGAGTGAGTAACAACTCGCTTTCAGGCATAGTTCCGGCTGGGATATGGGGATTGCCCCAAGTGGAAATAATTGACATTGCTTACAATCAGTTTGAAGGTCCAATTACATCTGATATCAATAACGCCAAAGAGATTGGGATATTGTCAACCCAATACAATAGGTTGTCAGGTGAGTTACCTGAGGAGATTTCAGAAGCCACATCTTTGGTTACGATTGAGCTAAACAACAATCAGATTTCAGGGGAAATCCCTCATGGGATCGGGGAACTGAGAAGCTTGAGCAGCCTTCAGTTGCAGAACAATAGGTTATTTGGTTCTATACCGGAGTCATTAGGCTCTTGTGTTTCCATCAGTAACATAAACATGGCTAACAATTCTCTTTCAGGCAGAATCCCATCATCGTTAGGATCTTTGCCCACATTGAACACACTGGATTTATCTCGAAATGAACTTACAGGTGGAATTCCTGAGAGCTTGTCGTCTCTCAAGCTAAACCTGTTGGATCTATCCTATAACCGGTTAACTGGTCCTGTACCCCAGTCTCTCAGGGTTGAAGCATATAACGGTAGCTTGGCCGGAAACCCTGGCCTTTGCAGCTCGACAATCCAGTCTTTCAAGAAATGTCCACCGGATTCAGGCATGTCAAAATCTGTTCGAACCCTTATAGTTTGCTTTGCCGTAGCCGCAATCTTGCTGTCTTGTCTCGGATGTTTCTTATATTTAAGGAGAACAAAAAAAGATGGAGACCTTTCATTGAAGGATGAATCTTGGGATGTCAAGTCTTTCCATGTGTTAACTTTCTCTGAAGATGAAATTCTTGATTCCATCAAGCAAGAGAATCTGATTGGTAAAGGAGGGTCCGGGAACGTATACAAAGTAATGCTTGCTAACGGTGTAGAACTCGCTGTGAAACACATATGGAACACGGATTCTCATGGACGCCGCAAGAACCGGAGTACTACCCCGATGCTTGGCAGACGTTCGGGAAAGGAAAAGGAATTCAACGCGGAGGTGCAGACGCTGAGCTCAATAAGACATGTCAATGTGGTGAAGCTTTACTGCAGCATTACGAGTGAAGACTCGAGCTTGTTGGTGTACGAGTACTTGCCAAATGGAAGCTTGTGGGATCGATTGCATACAAGTCGAAAGATGGAACTTGATTGGGATACTAGGTATGAGATTGCAGTCGGCGCAGCTAAGGGACTGGAGTACCTTCATCACGGATGCGAAAGGCCGGTGATCCACCGGGATGTCAAATCTAGTAACATATTGCTGGACGAGTTTTTGAAGCCTAGGATCGCTGATTTTGGACTTGCCAAGATGGTTCAAGCCAATGGCGGTAAAGACTCAACCCTTGTAATTGTAGGCACCCATGGCTACATAGCACCTGGTAAGTTGAATTTCAATTATTTAGTCCCCAAAATGAGGCATCGATTATGAAATTATCTTTACAGATTCAGTTTTTGTTAGTAAAATACCAAATTTCATTTCTGCAGAATACGGTTACACCTACAAAGTAAACGAGAAGAGCGATGTGTACAGTTTCGGAGTGGTATTAATGGAGCTAGTGAGCGGAAAGAGACCAATCGAGCCGGAGTTTGGAGATAATAAGGACATAGTGTCCTGGATCAGCAGCAAAATAAAGGACAAAGAGAGTGTTTTGAGTATAGTGGACCCTAGGATCCCTGCTGCTTTTAAAGAGGATGCTGTCAAGGTGTTGAAAATCGGCATTTTGTGTACGACCAAGCTACCGGCACTTAGACCCACCATGAGAACCGTGGTTCAAATGCTGGAAGAAGCTGAGCCATGCAAATTGGTCCGCATTCTTGTCAACAAGGACGGTGAAGTGAAGAAAACGGAAACCATGGAACCTGCCCTGAAGCTCAACCTATAGATACAAATTTCTCAAATATTGTAGCAACCATTTTTGTAATATATTATTTGTCCGTATTAGCTAGAACCTGTAATAGTAGTATCAATTGTATGCTTTTTATGAGGCAATAAACACTGTAACATGAAAATCTCATTGTCTGAATCAACCTCGGAAATGGGGAATTGATCATTGTTGTTTCTCCTCTGAAACAATTTGATCCACCAGGTTTTCCAAGCTACAAAGATTTGTTGTATTTCGTAACATACAAGATTCATTTAAATCATTTGGTAGTTGGACGGCATTGCGTCCACTCGTCGAAATGTCTGACAATAAATTTGGTATCTCCTAGGCTTAGCTAGTCAATCAAGCAAGAACAAAGTTAAACGCTATTAAATTGATGTGTATACGCTAAAAAGACAGGTGTTCAAACAAATAAAGAACGGTGATATAAGCACGTACGTAATTTTAGCAATTTTTTGAGTATTAACGTGATGGTTAGTTATATGTTTCTGTATTTAAAAATGAAACTTGATAGAATATGTCCGAATTAATTAATATGATTGATTGTAAAGTTTAACTTTCTAAGTATTCCACCGTCGACTTATAATCATTAGAAAGACAAATTTTTATTTTTTTATTTTTTATAGAACATAATCAGAATATTATTAGGTGATAAATTTTAGGGTAAAGTATAGTAATGGTCGCTGAACCTTTCCAAAGCTTTCATTTAGGTCCTCCAACTTTTAAAACTTGCAATACAGTCCTCCAACATTTAGTCTGTTTGCAATATGGTCCCCGACGTAACCGGCTGTTTGACATCGTTACATTGCCGTTAGTATGTTTGCAATATGGTCATTGAACTTTTCAGGCGCTTGCATTTAGGTCCCCTAACTTTTAAACTTGCAACACAGTCCTCAATTTCCAAAACATGTAAAAAAATCCAATTCGTTCACGATATATCAGTCTCATAATCAACATGAACTTATTAAAAAGAATACGAGCTCACAGGACGCCGAAAACCACAGGTCGAATCAATACAATTCCCAGTAAACTAGTATCAACAGTCTCTCGGATTGAGCCTGTCGATTTCACTATGTCGATACTCACAACCAATTCCCTGATTTAAAGAAAAACCAAACAAGAAGATCAACAAGATTTAGCATAGGACCCTCTTTCACTTCTATTCTGATGGACTGCATATCTTTCATAAGGAGTACTAAAAGTTTTGATTAAGAAGAAAGAAAGAAAATTAGATGGTTTTGGTTCAAAACTAACACTGAATATCCAGATCATTGATATGCAGTTACATAAACATAAAAATTTCAACAACAAAAAACATACAATGCGAACTGAAAATGGGAAAGGGTGAAAGAGGAAAAGCTTACTTATGGATAGCCCAAAAGAGAAAATAAATACCTTCTTGCAAGTGGGGGGAGAGGCTAAGAAATAAACACAATCGGTGTTGCGTTCCAACAATTCTTCCTCTATTTTTCTTTGTAAATAAAAGATGAAAGACATAACACTGCTTGGGTGTACAATTTTACATGGCAGAAAATTGAAGAACAAAAATCAAACGAGAGTGCAGGTGAGCGAAAGAGACTAAGAGGTGAATGCACTGTTTGGGATTTCATTATATTTGATCATCTGTTGGAAAATCTTTAAGCACAAGGATTAAACGAAGAAATTATTATATGCCATTTATACAAAATAATTCCAACTTTGTTGATGACTTTCAACAATGATACTTTGTTCATCTTAGTAGTATTTGTCAACTCTGCATTTCTAACCCCATTTTTTTCTCACAAGCATTTCATCGAACATCTATGCTTCACCTGAGATGGCCTGTATCTAACATTACACCTTGAATCGTTGGTGGTCCCGATAGTCCCTTGGTCGGGTCTTCCATCAATGGACTCTTATTCAAGTCAACACCTCCACATAATTCAAAGTTAGATTAGGATTTCCTATGCATCACCGACTGAAAAGTTACGCTGGAAATGAGAAGAAAGAAGCGAAAAAGGAAATTCGAGATCGAAAAGCAATTTGAGGTTTAGAATGAAATTGAGGATTATGTTGTAAGTTTTAAAAGTTGGGGGACTTAAATGCAAGCGCCTGAAAAGTTTAGTGACCATATTGCAAACGTACTAATGACAGTGTAACGGCGTCAAATGGTCGGTTATGTCGGGGACCATATTGCAAACGGACTAAATATTGGAGGACTGTATTGCAAGTTTTAAAAGTCAGGAGACCTAAATGAAAGCTTTAGAAAAGTTCAATGACCATTACTATTCTTTACCCTAAATTTAAATGCAACATATATAATTTTCTAAAAAAAATTAGGGTGATTACGAGATAATATTTGTTCATAATCTTTTTAGCCATTTATAACGTACACACATCATTCAGACACAACTAAGAATGAGCATGAGACCCGAACCGACTCAATTGGGTTATTTTTCGGATAGGATTTTTTAAAAGATTAAGTTTGGGTCGAGTTGGATTTGGGTTTAGGGTGGAAATATTCAACCTGATCCAACCCAAAAATAATATAATTATGTATTATATGTTTAGGAAATTACAATAATATCCCTCTTTATATTATTTTTTATAATTAGATCCCTATTTTGAATTATTAAACCCCAAAAAGGAGGTTAGATCTAAATCCTATAAAATTTTAGTGTCATTGTGTGAGTACCCTGAAAGTATAGGGATTTCTTTTGTAATTAGACCAGTGATAAAATGTTCTAAAGCACAAATTTAGTTTTTGACTTGCATTCTGCCCCTCCATTTTTTTAAGTTGTTAACTGTGAGATGGTGTTCTACACCTTCGATATTATTGTGTTCGTCTCGTCGATCTCGTTCATTTGATGTCTTTGGTTTATCTTTCTCCGTCGCCGTTTGCAACCGGTAAAGGTTCGAATATTCGAGTTTCATTAAAACCCCATCTCTGTCGATCTTTTCGGAAAACCAACATTTGTAAGTGACTCCTCTTGTCTTAAAATATTTTTTGCGATTTTTTTTAGATTTTCCGGCCATTAGAGCATACCACAGGTACCCTACGATGAGTGGGCTTCGTTGTGCCAGTTCAGACAGTGAATCGGTTTGACTAACCCGATCTTGAACTTCTGATTGAACTTATTAACCCGTTGACTTTGACCGACTCGTAGACCGTTGATAGTTGACTTTGTCTGTTGACTTTGACCTTTTACTTTTTTCGGAGACCCTTACCTTTTATGTTTTTTGACGTTCGTTGTGCCAGTTCAGACAGTGAATCGGTTTGACTAACCCGATCTTGAACTTCTGATTGAACTTATTAACCCGTTGACTTTGACCGACTCGTAGACCGTTGATAGTTGACTTTGTCTGTTGACTTTGACCTTTTACTTTTTTCGGAGACCCTTACCTTTTATGTTTTTTGACGTTCTGAGTTCGTCATAATTGTGAGATTTTGCTATTATTTTTATAAATTCTAACCCTAAAGTCCTATTTTATGTCATTTATTGCTTAAAGCCATAATTATATTAAGTAAATTGTGAGATTTTGGACTCTCTTTTTGGTATTATTTTCTAAAGGTGCTTTCGTTTCTCTGTATTGCTCTCTAGTAGATCCGATCACTCTCGTTCCGTTTAGTTCGATTTCACATGTTTGTCTCGAGATACGTGTACTCATTCTGCTGTTTCTAGTGCAACCAATCGTGAGAAGCGTAAGCCTTAGTCGGTGTTGATTAGCTATAATAGGTGTGTCTGACCTGTTTGTTACCTTTATTATTATATACTATTATGTTGTATGATGATATCTGTATGGATGTACGTATTCATATGAGTTGTCACTGATTTTTTATTAATTCTGCATCACTTTTATATGAGTTAATAGGATGAATGGAATTGTTCTATGAATATCAACCAAAAGCAAGCTCGGCCGCATGACCATCAGCTGCTTTCTAGTACAGAGTACAATTACAAGATAAGCAAATGGTGTACGTTTTCATTAAAACCAAATTATCAATTCAGCCTAAAGTCACAACTACATGATTTCTTCTAACTTAACTACAAATTTGGTTTACAGTACAAGATTAAAACACATCTGAAACCCAAATTAAATTCCTGGGATGATCTTTCCGTGGAATACTTTTCGACCCATATGAGCAGGGATGAGGTAAGCCTTTTAGAAGGCCCAAATAACTAACCACTTTGGAGCGTAAAATCATTTTTTGGCACATAATTTTTTTAATTTGATTTTCTATAAAATACTTATTTTTCTTTATCAAGCTAAAATTATTACAAAGAAGTATATGTTCTAAATACCTCAATCATTTAATAATGAACGCTAAATCACCCTACTGCAGTCGCTAGTATTCGAATCCATGACCTCTAGGAGCAGCAATGATTCTTTTAACCACTGAGGTAAGTTGGTTCATGCTTATAAAATATTTAACATTGAAACTAAGTTTTTAGATTAATTAATAAATATAATTAAAAAAAAAGTATCGACTGCATTTATAATATTAAATCTAGTAATATATTGCTGGACGAGTTTTTGAAGCCTAGGATCGCTGATTTTGGACTTGCCAAGATGGTTCAAGCCAATGGTGGTAAAGACTCAACCCATGTCATTGCAGGCACCCATGGCTACATAGCACCTGGTAGGTTGAATTTCAATTATTTAGTTCCCAAAATGAGGCATTGATTATGAAATTATCTTTACAGATTCAGTTTTTGTTAGTAAAATACCAAATTTCATTTATGCAGAATACGGTTACACCTACAAAGTAAACGAGAAGAGCGATGTGTACAGTTTCGGAGTGGTATTAATGGAGCTAGTGAGCGGAAAGAGACCAATCGAGCCGGAGTTTGGAGATAATAAGGACATAGTGTCCTGGATCAGCAGCAAAATAAAGGACAAAGAGAGTGTTTTGAGTATAGTGGACCCTAGGATCCCTGCTGCTTTTAAAGAGAATGCTGTCAAGGTGTTGAAAATCGGCATTTTGTGTACGACCAAGCTGCCGGCATTTAGACCCACCATGAGAACCGTGGTTCAAATGCTGGAAGAAGCTGAGCCATGCAAATTGGTCCGCATTCTTGTCAACAAGGACGGTGAAGTGAAGAAAACGGAAACCATGGAACCTGCCCTGAAGCTCAACCTATAGATACAAATTTCTCAAATATTGTAGCAACCATTTTTGTAATATATTATTTGTCCGTATTAGCTAGAACCTGTAATAGTAGTATCAATTGTATA